TGAGGTGTCTACAAATGATGTCTGCACAATTTCGATGGGAATGTGCATTGAACAAAATACTTGGTACTTTGCAACAAACACAACCGTCACTCAAAAATATAACGGGTCAATTGTCATTTGCAAACAACACTATAATGGTTGTGAGTGATGACGATGTATCTAATCAGATTGAAAATGATGTTGAAGAGGATGACATAGTGGATTGGAATGATGAGTTGCATGATGACTGTGAAAATGACTATGTTGTGGCACATGATGACTGTTTAGAGGACAACAAGAGTGAGCACAACGACATTTCAGATTGCAATAATGCAGATGGCAATACAGGACATGCCACAACTGTAGTGTTAAAAGAGGCTCAATGCGATGACCATGCCACAACTGTTGAATTAGAAGATGTTGAGAGTGCCAACCCTATTTACGACAACCCTATCGCACTTGAGAACGACATTCGTTCGCCTGATGACAGTGATCAAGAAAGGGTAAATACAAGGGTATCTCGTCAATGGATTATTCTCAAAATAGATATGATATCCTTCCAAACAGTTGCAACTGAGTAATCTAAATCAATGAATGACCACTTATATTGTGGAAAAGTGTTTCCATCGAAGGTCGAATTGAAACGAGCTTTGAACATGTTGGCACTAAAAGAGCAATTTAAAATTAGAGTTAAAAAGTCATGTCACGCTCATTTTAAGGTTGGTTGTAAAGAGAAGGCATGCAAGTTTGCTTTCTATGCAACAAAGTTGCTTGAGAGAGAATATTGGCAAGTTCGCATGTTGTAGAAGGTACACACGTGTACTATTGATGGTTTGCAATATGGGTACCAAACTACAAACGCGAGGCTAATTGGTGAGCTTATCTCCACCACACTGCAAGGAAATTATGTAACCGTTTTGAGACCTAAGGAAATAATGGAAAAGATGAATTACAAGTGGGGATTGCAATGCCTATATGGGAAGGCCTATAGGATGCTCTTTAACAGATTAAGATGATAATCACCTTATCACATATTTGCTTAAAAAAGGTAGATTGAATTATAAAAAGGATTAGTCATCCTCTTAGTATAGAATGAACCAATCCTCGCCCAGAAAGACAAGAAGTTTTTTTAATCCCATTAGATTAGATGATAAATGCTTTTACATGCTTTATTTTATTTCTAAAATTTACATATAAAAAATTTGACTTAAATTATGGTAAGTTTATAAGTGTCATTATTCCAAATACCTTTTTTGCCCTTCCATAGTTGGCTAAATAAAGAAAAAAGGAAAAAGAGAGAAAATATCTATCTTTCTCTTTGAAAAAGCTAAATATAATTATATTTATAACCATAAAAATATAAATTTAAACAATACTTACTTTAATGGAGGATAATTTTCGCCTTTGAAAAATAAAAAATCCTATCTTATCCTTAACTTTGCACACCAAACCTAATATTATAATATAAAATTATCTCACGTCATTCTTATTCTTTGCACAAACCAAAGATAAGATAAGATTATATTATCTAATCCAATAAATTCTATGTTATTTTATTTTATTTTATCTTATCTTCAC